TGTGAATGTGTGTCTCTTCTTCTTATCCCTTCATAACCACACCCACAGCCATCCTTACCCTCAATAAATACATGTATAAAGAAGATCATATTTCAGCACATATAAATTTAAAATATTAATCACATCTGATAAAACTGCACAATATCTTCTGATATTATGTGACAAGATGATTTACTGAATTTTTGATAATTTCGAAAGTATAAATATGAGTACTCTTCTCATCTGTCATCTTTAGTTGTATCTCTGTTGTTGTACTCACACATGATTTGACTAGGATTCTTCCAAGTTGACGCTATCGATGCATTCTTTCATAATTGTCAATAAAGAGGTAACTGGGTTTTTGTATATGGTATTCACTTTTATTGACAATATAACTATTTTTACCTCATAATTTTTATTCTATATAAGCGATAGAATATCGATAGAAATCATATTTACAATCGAATATAATTCCTTCGTATATGGGTGATAGAAAAGATCAATTATATGATGATGTTGTTATTTCATTCTTTAATAAAACAGATGGAAATCTTGCTGAATTAGAAATCTTTCTTGTTAAGTTGTGTTGAGCTGAACACAAAATGAATTCATGTTTTAATCATGTGTACAATACTAATGATTGTCGTATTAGAAAATCGTATCAATTTAGTAAACATATTCTTTAAGAAATTTCGAAAGTCAATTGATCTAGAAATCAAAGGTGCTATTCGATACTGCTCTAACATACAAGGTGGAATAAGTTCACTGTGGGCATCTGTGTACATTGGAATTTGGATATGATAAAATTATTCATCGAAAGTAGATATGATGCAACACCATTACATGTAGCAACTGATCGTAATAGACTTGATATTGTTAAATATCTGATTGAAGAAGCACATGGTGGTGTACATAAAGTCAATAGAGGAAATGTGATATGTTTAAATGTTGCTGGAATCCACTGTAATGCAAAATTAATTGAATAGTTATTACAACAAACTGATACAGGTATTAATCACCAGAATATTTATGGAGAAACAACATTACATTATGCTGCAATACATGATCAAAATGATGCTATTTAACTTCTATTAACATATAAAACTCGAGTAGATATTTAAAATACAGAAAATATGACTGCATTAGAATTAGCTGCTCAAAACACAAAGGAAGAAGCGGCTAACTATATATTAAATATTGAAGATCTAATCGATGTTACAGAAAGAATTGAAGCATTAGAATTATCAGGTGCATCACTTGTATATAATGTGCGAAAAGCTTATAGTTTTGAAAAAGCATATGAATATCTTATATGCAAGCAATATAATATTAAGAGTATCAAGTGAAAATATGAAAACTAGTTTGACGACATTAGTTCAATTAATTGCAGCTTATAACTATCGTACAGAATATGCGTTTCACCCATTGAACTAGAATCGATTCGGTATGATCCTGAAACTCTTCGTGTCGAAGCATTACTTATTCTTGAATGTCTTTTATTACCTACAAGCTGTATTAAACTAATAGATTCTATTTGGGATGAAGGTTGGGAATATGCTGATAAGTATCAGTATGATCATTCCATTTACTTGTGGCTTTATGGATTAGAACTTTCTATTATAAACGATGACGTCAATATGAATGTTAGTAATCTAAAAGATAGAATGATGTATATCTTTACTGGTATACGAGAATTGGATGAAATATATGTGAGATGTTATCAATGGAATACAAGATCATTCCAACGACAATATTTGTAGAAAGTTTTAAAACAGCAGTCAATCAGTTTAGACGTTTATATTAGAAATCAACTGAAACAAAGAATGACTCTAATAGATATGCATATAATCATTTTGTATACAGTATTTTATTCTTAATCTATGTTTCCACAAAGGTATGCAGGAGAAATAAGACTCAATAAAAGGTGATTTGTACATACTTCTCATCTTCTTTTATAGCTCACTTTTAATGAAATGATCAACAACAACTACACGAATTAATTCAGTGGATAAATCGACTAAATATTTGTACGATTTCTTTTCGGTCAATACTTTTGCATTTAAGTTGTAATTCAACGACAATTATTCGTCCGATTTTACAACAAGATCATGCTTCGTATGTGTGAATGAATTATATAAACAATATTCTTATGTTTTCTTTTAGTTTTCCATGTACTGCTACTAGTCAATTATTAATCGATTGTGATTTCGATGTCAATGTCTTCTTCAAACACTAATTGCTTCGAAATTGCCAAAGACAGTAGCAACAATTGGACATCCTTTTGAATACAGGTCGATTACATCCAGATTATATCGATCAAGCTAGAAAGACTGCATTGAATTGTTCAAATGAAAAATGAATATAAATTTAAAGTGTCTGTGTGCGACGAGTTTAAATCAGCTTAAGATAAACTATGAGAACTGTTTACCTCTGAATTTGATCGATTTTGTTAAAAGACACAAACAATAACTATAAAATTTAGAATACAGATTTTTTTTTCTTTATTAAAGAATAAACGATTGATTGGTGGAATATTTTTCTGCGCAAATATCAAATATTGATGAATCCTTAGCAATAGCTCCGAAGATTTGTCTTTCTGTTTTATAATTTTGATAATATTTATTATAGGCTGGCAATTCTGCTGATCCAAAATCTATAGTACTGACTTCTACAGCATCATGATCCACAGCAAATGTATCCAAAATTGCACATGTTTTTAAAACTGTATTCTCTTGAAAATTGCATTGTGCACTTAAAATTTTACACCAGATCAAATCAAGACCATAACCTAAACTTACTTTTTCGCTTATATAATTCCAAAGACAAGCAAAAGCAGAAGAATTAGCAATAACTAATGGGCCAGTTTCAACAAAATCCGTCCATCGACCAATTTTTGATGTATAATGTGGAGATATTCGAGTAAATAAATAACTAATTGGTCCAGTTAATCTAGCTGGAGCTGATAATAAAATATTAAATTGATTAATAACACATTCATATGCTTGAGTATTAAAATCAAATCGAGCATCATCATCAACAATCCATATATAACGATATGCTTGAATAATATATGGTGGAAGAAATCTTTTAATATACCAATAACGAATTTGATTTTTAACATAAATCCAAATAGCTTTTTCATATATTGGATGATTATTCCATGTTGAATTATCATAGATCATAATTATATAATCAAAAGATTTTTCTGGAAATATTTTAAGAAAATTTAATGCAATCCATTTTTTACCAGATTTTTCACCCCAAAATGAAATAACTAAACTTTTATTTATTATATGACAATTATTTGGTGTTTGTAAATTACAATTAACTCGACGTTGAAAATTTAATTTATAATTATTTTCTCTTAATGATTCAACAGTCGAGTTTTGAGAATATTCTAAAATTCTCATAGAATTATTATTAATATTTTTAAAAGATGAAGATTCAATAGATGATGGTGATGGTAAAATTAATTTCATTTTGTCTATAAGTATTATAATAAAAATGATAAAAAGTATTAATATAAAAACTAATCGTTTGAATAAAACCATTACGAAGTCTTTTCCTTTTGTTAACTATTATATATCATTTGTAAGCTTATAAAATATTAATTATTGTATTAAATTGAGAGTTGAGTAACATACATCTGAAGGAAAATTGAATATTAATAAATTCTTCTTGGACTAAATTAGATAGAATCTCTTTTCATAATGGCTAAATCAAATTTAAATAATTATATTTACTCCTTCGCAATCTATCGTCGTTCATTTTTACTTACATGTGAGTTTTATTTGAAAAATTTAAAAATAAAAGAGAAATGAATGAAAGTAACTGTCAATTTCTTTAGAATGTGGTAAAAAGTTACTTTTTCTTTTTCTGTTTCATTTCTATCTGATTGAAGGCCGAACAGAACGTGTGAAATGAAAGGTATTATACAAATAAATATACATTCAATAGTTAAAAACAATTTGTTTGTGAAAAAAAACTTTATTTTGAAATGGTAAAATCATTCATCAGCCAGACACCATTTATAATAAGTTACAGATTTTTCCAGTATTTCGACGAATATTTATATTAATTATTTTTCTAAGATTTATTTATTAATGAAATCATGTAAAAACAAAATTAGAAAAAAATGTAAAAGAATCGTATCTATCTAAGTGATTGTTCTTTACGGATGAGATTTTAGATAGAATTTTAATAAATGACTATATCATATATAAAAAATAATTTTTCTAATTTGATTTTCTAAATTTTCGATAAAATATGTTTTTTTTCATGTTTGGTTTTCATTAAAATCTTATTAGATACTGAAAGTCTTTCAAAATTAATATAATACGATGAAATGATGGATTTAGAACAGTTGCTCATCCATTATATGTCTAGTAATACAAATTTATTAGAACAATAATCGATCATCCTAATTGATTTGAAAATTTTCTTTCAATGAAATATATTGAATAATTTTTAATAAAATATATAGAGTAAAATTTTGATAATTACTGTTTTTTTTGTGCTGTGACTATTTATTTTAAATCTTAGTAGTCTGTTTTATTTCGATAAGATAAAAAATAAAATAATATAATATACGAATAAGAATGAAATTATATATATAGAAATGATTTATATATTTATTATATTCGATCTATGAAGAGTTAGCTTTTAATAAATGCTCTTCATAACCTTTTCATTATCTTCTACCAATTATTCACCACTCTCTTCGTTGTGTCACCATACGCATTTAGTTATTTGTGACAGTCATGTGAAAAATCTCTCACGTTAGTTTGTCGTTCTTTGATATGTTATAAGTAAGTAGGATAAGCAAGATAAGAGGACGAAATTTCTAGCTTTTTCTCGCTTTTCTTTTGTATACGAAAGCGACCGAAGTTTTCAGATAACTCACATATCATTTGAACAAGCTGATACAAAAGAAAACGCAAGCTCACTCAATGAAGTCAATTCTTTAGATGACAGTTTTTATAGAATAGACTTTGAATCTTCGAGTTGCGACAAAGAAATTACTGATGATCGAATAAATATGCAAGTTGAGGGGTGTGAAATGACGATGATATCCACACCCTCAAGATTTTTTAATTCTGAAATTTCTTTATAAATTATCATAATTAAATACAATGTATTTAGATAATTGTTCTTTGGAAAAAGGAACAAACCAAAATAAGTTCTTAAAAAATAAATTGAATAATGATTATGTCATGTACAAACAGTTCGTTGTGTGAGCATGGAAATAAAAAAAGAAATCATTGATAATAATATTTTTCCATTATATATGTTAAGAAAAATTTTGTAAAATCATTTTATGCTGTATTATCTTTGAGATAAAAATCTTCATATAGATATTCTTAGATCATATATAAAGTTCGTGGATAGAAATTTCATCTGACAAACAATTGAGAAATAAAATATTGTTAGTTTTTATTTTAATGAAATATTTTATTTTTTTTTGTTTGGGGATAAAAAATAGCACTCAACATAAAGTGATAAAGAGATAGATGATTATGGTCTTGCTTGACCACAATTACCTGCGGAACAGCATGAGCTAGTACCAGGATTATTTGCAACAGCACATCCCATAACAGCCATGTTACAATTTCGACAGTTTCCCCCTAAAATAGCAAGAATCAAAAATGGCAAAGTAATGAAGTTTTACTTACATAAGTAGAACCAGCTGATAGCACCACATCCATGTTTTTTATAACATGCATCATGATTATCACAACATTTTCCTTTTTTCCCACAACTACTAATAACAGCATCACATCCATAATTATCTCGTATTAATCCAAATGGATCAATTTCATTTACGTTTTGTGTTCGAACAATAGTTGAACAATGAATGATAGCGATTAATCCACTGAGAATAACAAATGTCAATAGAATTCTATTCATGGTTATTGTTAAAGATTTATTCTATAGAAAAAAAAATTATTGCATAAAAATATTTTGTGTATGTTAATTCAGCTTACTTTATTTAGTAAATTGATCCTGTTGTTGAGTGCTAATTGATGGTAGGAATAATTTTCTATGCTTTTTATATAGAAAAATTATTAATAAAATGCAGATGTTTTTTTTCTCATAATATTTCTTATTTTCGATTTGAAAATAAAATGATACTACACCCACTTATTGATTTTTATCATTTATATCAATATTATATGTTCTTTTAATGAAATATATTTATTCTATGATTATTACAGATCGCCGCAGGACATGGCAAATTCTGTTGCACTGATAAATTTTTCGATCAATATGTTTTTGATGAAAATTTTCGAATGAATTATATTGGTACCAAGACTAATTAATTATCCGTTTTACAACACTACCGGCTTAATTGTAATTTTGTCAGTGCGTATTATCATTCAATATCTAGTTTTTTTCATTCATATTCTTTACAGTTTTTTTTAATTAGCCAATGCTTGTAAATACACATCAAGTATGATCTCAAAATGATACGAACAAATTGTAAGAATTGAATAAATGTTTTGTAAGATCTATACTTTATAGATGAAATTTAAATATTATCTTTGCATTTATAAAAACAAAGTATGAATAAAGTATGTCAATATGTATCCTTTCCCACCATTAAAATCACTTCAATATATAATAATATTTAAAAATAAGGCAGAAAAATAGAAAAACAAGTACGACAGATTGTTTGGAATATTTTATAAGCTGCTCGATTAAAAATAAAGATAAGATTTTCCTATAAATAAATCCTTGTTATTTATTTTAACTGTAATATGTAAAGATTAATATTTTACGTATATTTACTTCTATAAACTAATATTAGATTAATCTTCTAGAAACTGCTGAATATCGTTGTCAAAATATGTGTCCTAGATTACTTGACAGATTGCTCATATCTTTTCAATGTCATCTGTGTGCTCAGTGGGTGTGGGTGTGGGTGTAGGTAATAATCTTTTTCTCAACCACACCCACACCCACACCACCCTTCGTGTGATCTAATATTAACTTTATGAACAGTATTAGTATATTCAATTAAATGTTCCAAGGCTATATTTGAAGTTAATTCTTATGAAAGATCACAAATAAAAAGATGATCTATTGATTATATTAGATAGATTAGGATTAGTTCGATCTTCACTAAAAAAACATCTATTAAACTAATGACCATAGTTAATTTTGATTCATCTGTTTGCTAAGTATTTATTCTTAGTATGTCTTCTAAATGTAAAACTAAACAAAATAATTCGTTGTTTATTGAAGAAAAAAATGTATGAGCAATATAATTAGGAGATATACAGATAAGATGGAAATAATGAATTCAAAGTTATTGTGTAAGATCATATAATGCCTCTAAAAGAGTTGCAGAAGACCATGCTTGTACAGAACATGAATAAGGAGAGAATTGTCCATTAGCATTGGTTAATTCTGGTAAACCTTTCCAATCATTTGAAAATAATAATTCCATATGTAATGAAAGTATTTTTTGAATATGTTCAATTGTTTGTTTAATAATTAATGGATCATTTTGTTGTTTTGACCAATAAAGTTTAGCTCGAATATAATAACCAGTTAACCATAACCATTCAGGTCCATTATGATAATTAAATCCATGAGCTCTCTTATACTCGTTTGAATCATCATCATTTATATAATCACCAACGTAATTATAATCACTTTTTTAATAAAAATTTTTAATTAATTTATTAAAAAAGAGATAAACTTACTCGGGATCAAGTGTTTTAACTCCATATTTTCCAAGAAGAATTAATTCAACTTGATTCAATGCTAACCATATATGATTTTTATCAAACATTTCTGGTGCCTTTTAATAAATAAATAAATAAAATGAAATAAATTTAAATATATTAACCTACAACAACAGCAGCAATAAGAAAATTCGGTCTGAATTGAAAATCAGTCCATTTACATGTTGAATTAATTGTATCTTTATAAATTTGTTTTCTATTAACATATTTCGATAAATTTGTTTCATCAATCCCAAATTCTTTTTCAAAATTTTCATCAATTCGATTTAACCATTCATTTAAATATATTCGACATTTTTTTCCTGTCGAAGGTGATACTATTTCAATAGAATCATAAGGATAATATTTTTCTTTATTCATTTGAATAAGCCATGCTAATATAGATCGACATAAAGCAACTAATTCAATTGCTGAACCATCACGTGGTGTTGCTGGATAACCTTTATTTTGTGCTTTATCACTTGAACCCATTTTATCCATCCATGTTCCACAATTCCATTGATTTCCTCCAAAAACAAAACCAGTTTTTTCATCAATACCAATTTGATTATTAAAACCTTGATCCATCATATTTAAATCTAATAAAGGTCCAGCACCACGTTCTCGAAATGTTAAGGTTTGAAGATGTCGTAAAAGAACTTCATGAATAACATCAAATAATAATTGATCATGTAAACCACTTGATTGCATAGGACTATTATCTGTTGGATATAAACGTGAAATTTTATCTGAAAGTATTTCATATCCATTTGGTACTATTTTTGTATAACATGATATTGAATATAACCACCACCAAACAGCATCACGTGCATTATAACGGGCAGTTTTTCCATCACCTAATAAATTTGGTATTAAACCATGACGAAGACAACCACCATATGATAAAATTAAATAACGAGCTTCTTTATATCTTCCAGTTAAAAGAAGAAGACCACGTAATGATATAAATGTATCTCGTCCCCAATTTCTCCATATTCCAGCACCAAAATGTGGAAAACCTGCAGCTAATGATGGACATTGTTGAACACGTTCAAATGTTTGTTCATCTTGATCTTCATTTGGTCGAGGTTCTCGTAAATTTGGTGATAAAAATGGTAAACGTGCATTAGGAACAATACTTATTAATTGAACCGATGATAATGCAAGTGCACGAATAAATGTTGATGATTGTTTTATAAATGGACTCATTAATGACCATCCATGTTCTAATAATATTGTATAAGATTTCGTTATTATTAAATCAAAATATGATGGAATCATTACACGTGATAAACATTTAATATTATTAAATACATTTTCATACCATTCACCTAACTAAAAAACAATTCATTTTTATTAATTTAAATTAAATAAAATAAATATACCTGTTTGGTATTTGGATGAATTTTAAGTCTATTAGAAATATAATCCATTAACCAATTTCCTTGTTTTAAATTGTTAATCAGAGGATGTTTGAGTTGATTATGTAAACGAATTTTTTCTAAAACAGACATAATACCTTGAAGACCACAATAATTTAATTTCCCATAATCAGGTATTAAATAAACATCAAAACCTTTTCCATCAGCTTGTTCTTCATCAGATGAACGATAAAGAATACGTTCAAGATCAATTAATGTTAATTCTTTTATTATTTTATTAAATTGACTTGATGAATTTGTAAATTGTTTTATTAATTCTTTTAAATTATTTATTGATTCATAAATTTGTGGAAGAAGTGAAATTTGTAAAATAATTATTGAACCAGGACGAAAATGATCTGTAAATTCAATTGTACGATAACCAGTATAATCAGGAGAATTTGGTGATGTTAAACAAATACATTGACTTTGTTCTATTGAAAGATTTTCTTTAAAATAAATTTTTGTATGTTCAAGTCCATTTATATAATCATTTGATCTTTGAAAATTTCTAACTGGTTCTTTATCTTGTGGATGATTTATTATTGCTTCTAATATAATATCATCAATAATACCTTCAATTGATAATGGACTTATATATTCCCATTTTTCATTTACTTCAAAAAATGATGTATGACTTATTAATAGAATAGATTGATGTCTTTCAATATTATGACGAGTTATTAATAATGTTGATGTATTTAATTGATCAACTATTAACTAAAAATGAAATTTTATCAATTGATTATATTCGAAATAAAAAAGTAGGCCAAGTTAAATAAGTATTTTTTATTCGATTTACCTTTGAAAGCAGCTATTTTATAACATCATGGCGTTTTCGTTTCGAAAAATGATTTATTATACATCCTCAAGATAGTTTTATTTGAAAAAAAAAATTCTAACCTGATTAAAACCTTGCTGAGCAAGTTCTATATGTAAACTATTTAAAGCTTTTCTAATTGAAATTAATGCAGTTTTGGAATTGATTTGTTGTTTTTCAAAACCCCATTTGGCATAAAATCTTGTTTCATGAACAACATCAATATAATGTGGAACTAATTCATCATAACCTCTATATGAACCAATTGAAGAATTAGCCATTGAAACACAAGCTGAACGTGGAAGAAGATCTTCAACTGATCTACTTTCAATTTCAGATGGATTATCATGTGTTTGATCATAAAAACATGAATAAGATTTTGTTGATAATAATGGACGAACATTTGATTGAATAAATGAACCAATTGAATCTCCTTGACTAACTGACGATACAATTTGACCTAAATGACATGGATCAAATGCTCGATATGATTCTCGTATTAATGAATTTATTCCAATATGATTTATAAAATAATTATCAAGATTTATATTTCCTGTAAATAATTCAGCAATAATATAAAAATTAGGATTTATTTCTCTTGCATAATCCATCATCTCTTGTGCAAACCATAATGGTGTTGAATGACAATTATCAAGACGACAACCATGAAATGTTGTTGCAATTAATCGTGTATATTCTTTCATATAGGAATATAATATTGGACAATCTTCACGCTTTGAACCAAAACGAACTTTTATTAAATCACACCATGGAATTAAATCTCGACGTAGATAAACTTCTTGACCTTCATCAGCAAAACATCTAAGTGGATCATCATTCATTATCCATCCGTTATGAGCCATAACATAAGTTTGATAATGAATATCATTTTGAATTAGTTGATTAATTAAATCTGGATGAAGATATTCTTGATTTGGATAAGAAAAATATTTTGGAACAAATGGTGTTGACAATAATGACAATTTCTTATATTTCGGTCCATCAGATGAAAAAAAATGATAATGACATGATTGAAGACAATTATCTATTGATCGATTTAAATTTTCATTTAATTTTTCACAAAGAAAATTATTTAAAAATTTTAAACGATTACGTAAATCAACACATGCTGCATTTATCCATTGTTGTTTAGTTTTGAAATTCTTTCTTTGAAAAAAATATATTTTTTCAGCTAAATTAAAATCAATTGAACTTCTCATTCTTTCATATTTTCCATGTTTAATAACAAGATCTTCTTCATTTTCGTACAAACATTTTTCTGGACAATGATCTAATTTTAATAAATGATTTTGAAATTGTTCAATTAACAAATCAATATCACAAATATAAAATTCTGAAAAATTATATTTTGAAATTTGTTCATTAAGTAAATAATTTCGAATTAATTGTAAATGTTCTTCTTTGATTTCCGATGGAATTCCTTGTGATAAAAGTTTATCTTCACTTGCATCACAAGTAAATTGTATTAAGATTGAATCAAGAAGTACTGCTGATTTTAAATATGGAGAATTTATTAAATTATAAGATATTTCAGGATGTTCTACAAGTAATTGACAATCATTTGCAACATGATTATAAACAAGATCAGTTATTGAAAATATTTTCCATTGTTGAATCATATGATGAATAATTCGTTTTATTTCTTCATATGTTCCATTAAATATTGAATTTAATTTATGATGATCTTTTATTGCATATGATGAATTTGATATATTTGAAAGTAATTGAATTGGTGTTAAATGTATTATATTATAACCTGAATGATATGTTACTTCAAGACGTGATAACCATTCGGATAACGGACCTAAACATTTGGATAAGACTGTTTGACATGTTATACAATCTTCTTCTAAGGTTTCATTATTAGAATCATTTAAAACTAAATATGGTTCGATTTGAAAATAACCTTCACCATTTACATTTTCTTTAATACTAAAATATATCAAATAAATTATGTTTTTCAATAAAAAAACAAACTAACTAACGTTGTTCCATCAATTGTAAAATAATAATGAAATGTTCCAGATTTCTTAAATTGAATATAAATATAACGATTTGAATCATCACATTTTCTATTCGATGGACAAATCCATTTTAATTCTTTATAATTTAAACGTTGAAATTCATCATTTTCATTCAAACAAATATTTGTAAATATTCGAACATTTTTACATGATAAATTTGATGATAAAACTATTTGAACAATCCATCCTTCAATTTAACAAATTTTACTTTCATATTTTTTTTTAAATTAACTATTCAAACCTTTTTTTAATCGAAATAATTCTTTACTTTTATCTCCATTTTCATTTAGAATGAGTACACGAACTTGTTCATTATTACAATTATCCATTCAATTGATTATCTTAGTTTTAAATAAAATAGATACACTGCAAGGTCACTACGTATCATTCATGTACCTTTAAGATTTATATATGAACTTAAAGTACAGATTACGATCATCTCTTCTCTTTTTTTTCTTTAATTCGATCAAGATTTATTTTCCATTAAAACAGTTATTATCTAGATGTCACCCAAAAACAATCGTTCAATATAAAACAAAACTACCATCCTGAGGGTGGGTGTGGGTGTGGGTGTGGTATTATATTCATTCCGCATCCATACACATACCCACATCCGATATAAGATTAGTCCAATTGATAAGTTAAAATATGCAATGAGTTGTTAGAATAAAAGTTCGATTTATTAATTAAAAAAAAATGTATATTTTTTTTAAAGTTTTAATGTGGAAAAGAAAATTTTCATATAGAATAAGAATTTATTTTACGTATTTTCTTTTGAATATTGTCAATTAAAGATTGATCTCGTGGTTTAATAGATTGAAGAATATTCAATGAGTCTTGATAAGATTGTAATGCATAATTTGAAAGATGTTGCTTTCTATAAATTTCTCCAATAAGAATATATGTTTGAGCTAATGATAAACTTTGTTCCGGTTGATAATTTATTGATTGATGAAAATAATTTAATGATTGATTAAAATCGCGTTTTTTTAAATAAATATTTGCAATAATTCTATAAATATCGTCTAATGAATCATTTTTCTTCTTATTATTTTTAAGTAAATTTTGAAAATGCATTAATGTTTGTTCCAAATAATATTTCTCAAATTGAGAATTATTTATAGGTAAATGATCAACTGTTTGATTTTGTTTTTTATTTGATAAATATTTAATTGTATAATCTTTATCTAAATAAATTTTTCCAATTAAATTATAAATCTTATCAATGAAAGAATAATTTTTTGTATTATTCATTAAAAGACATTCAATTAATCTATAAAAATAAGTTAATGATTGATTATAATTTTGTTTATGAAAATAATTCATAGCAATTGCTTCATAGATATATTTTAATGCTAAATCATTAAAATTTTGTTTTTTTAAATTTTTATTGAATAATTTAAAAAAATATTTTAATGATTGATCATAATTTTGTTTATCATAAGAAATATTTCCCAAAATATAATAAATATTATTTATTTGGGAAGAATTTTTTCGATATTTTAATAATTTATCTTGAAAATAATTTAAAGATTGATCTAAATAACGTTTTTCAAAATAAATATCATCAATATGTTTATGTTTATTTTCATTTTCACCCGATTGATTTTGATAATATAATAATGTTTCATTAAAATGATGTCTTTTTAAATAAATTTTTCCAATAATTTCATATATTTCATCAATCTTTATTTGATTTATTGGTAAATTTTTATAATAACAATCAAGTAAACGATTATAATGAAGTATTGCTTGACCATAATTATGTTTTTTATAAAAAATTTCAGCAATTCTCTTATAAAGATCAACTAATGATAAATCTTCATGTAATTTAACTTTTAATTCAATTTTAAGATCATTTAAATAAAAATCTAATGCTTCATCTAAGATTTTTTTATCTAAATATACATTAGATTTATCATAATAAAGATCTCCAAGTGTTTTATATGATAAACTTAATGATGATTCACTAATTTTCTCTCTTGCTAATTCACTTTTAAGAACTTTATCAAAATAAATTGCTGCTTGATCAAAATTTCTTTTTTTCCAATAAGTATTTCCAAGAATAAGATAACTTTCAACAACTGATGGATGTCTCCATGATAATGTTTTTAATTGATTTTCTAATGCTTTTTCATAATAAATTAAAGCGTTATCTAAATCTTTTAGTTTCATATAATAATTTCCAAAATTTGTAAAAGTTTTTGCAAAATCCGGATGATTGTTTGGTAATGATTGTGATTGTAATTGATAAGCTTTTGAAAAATATTCATATGCTTTTTGTTCCGCATTATTTTCTAAAGACATTAAACCTATTGCATTATAAGTATAACCAAGATCTGGATGATCTTTGGAAAGTTTTCTAATTTGTAGTTCAATTACTTTATCAAAATATTTTGTTGCTTCTTCATTATTATTCATAGCAGCATAAATACTCCCAATATAAATATTAGTTTCTGTAATAATTGCATGTGATGGTTCTGGTTTACTATGAAGAATTTTTTGTAAATATTCTAATGAAAGATGATAATTTGTCATTTTAAAATGAATTTTAGCTAAACCTAAATAAGTTAATGATAAATCATTATTCTTTGAATTTAATGCTAATTCAAAATATTGAAATGCTTTTTCATATTCTTTTAATTTACAATAAACATATCCCAAAGAATTATAACATTGAGAAACAAGTTGATGATCTTTTAATGAAGAATCTTTTAATAAATAATCTAAACCATTATTAAATTGATCGATTGATGCATTATAATTTCCTCTTTTTTCTTCAACTTTTCCAACCATTAAATGACATTGAACACAATCAATTGGATCAGTTAGAAGTTTATTATTCAAAATTCTTTCTAAATGTGCATATGCATCATCAAATTTATTCATTTCCATAAGATTATTTCCCATTGAAACTAAACTATTTTGTCCTTCAGTTTCTTTTTCTAAAATCGATAAAAATTGTTTTATATCTGGATCATCATTTGCACATAATGTTAATGTTACTATCCAAAGATTATTTTGTTCATCGAATTGAACATTATCCATGCGAAACATTGAACCAAATACAAAAAGAATTTCTTCTTCATCTTGAAAATCACTATAACGTTCAATATCAGCATATGGTTTTGTAATTGAATTTATATTAACATTTAATTCTAATAATATTGATATTAAATCATCTGATGGTGGAGTTCGACTTTTGGCAAATTCGAAAGCTTTTTTACGATTTTTACTTGTTGATAAAAATGAATTCATTGATATTAATTCTCCATGAGCAGTTTTAAGACGATTAAGTTCATCTTTACTAAGAAATTGTCCACGATAAAGTTGAATTGTTGAAGTTTTTTGTTGTTTAATAAATATTTGATGTTCTTTTGTTAGTTGTGTATTTAAATCTTTAATAAATGTAGCAAAAGGAGAAGTATTTTTTATATCTTGTGTTCTTAAAGCTTTATTTAATGTTTTATAAACACAAGATTCTCTTGTATACCAATTTATTGCTTTTGATGCTTTATATTTTTTATCAAATTCTTTATATATACTTTTATCTTTAGGATCGCTTGGTTGAAAATGCTCGTATAAAGATTTTTCATTTAAATTTAATGAAAATTTTCCATCTAAGATTTGTTTAAGTAAGATTTGATAAAGAATAAATTCACCATTTAATGATTTATGCATACTTTCATTATCTTTTGATGAATAAGCCATCGTACCCATTCGATCTGCTTGAACATTTTCTTCTCCTTTTTTTTCTTTATTTTCAGACATTAGTTTATTAGAAAAATTTTCAAAAAATCTAACAAATTAAACAAAATAAATAATTATTCAATTCAAATTTATCTTTGCAATTCTCATTGACGAACTATTTAAACATATGGAAATGATTACTATCCATATTTTTATATTTTTCTTCTTTATGTTTAAAAATTACACAAATCGATGAACTATCGTAATGTTTAATTCTTTTTTATCGTCATTAATCAAATTATTAAGTAGTATAAAAGTGTATGTGGCTCTTAGAGAGTTTCAATAGAAACTATTGGAGTTAAAATAAAGAGTTTTTTTAAAATCGAAAAAAATACAATATACGACATATATATATATCAATAATACTATCACTGAAATATTTATCCACCTATTTATTTCTCATCATGTTTCTCTCAAGGATGAGGTGAACGACGAAAACATTAATAAAACATATTTCTCAAAACATTATGTGACCATGAATATTTACACATATCGAATTCGAATCAACATAATCAAATACCTATCTATTCATCTGCATACCCTATTTATTGAGGGATAATTACGTGAATAGATCGATGTATAGATCGCTAATTGGGTTGACAGATGGGTGAGTGTCATACAATGTTTTATAGGAACATTTTCAAAGTCAAATAAGTTTCTCAAACTCAAATTTATTTTAGATAAATTTGAAAGCACTTTCTGAGAAGCAATAAATATCTTAAAAATTATATTTATCTATGCAAAACACAGGGAAAAGACGATCATTTAACAAATAATTGTTTATTTCGCCGTGTTCGATTAGTTTCTAGGTACAAACTTGTCAATGCAAGTTACTCATAATTTCGTTGAACTATTTATCTATACTACTGATTTATCGAGAAAAAGGTTGAGTATATAACTATCTATCTGTCAATGACAGAATTATTAAAATAATACGAAGAAATGTTCAATGATAATATCACTGAAATTTGTTATGAATTTAAGAAGTCATATCAGTTTTCAGTGAAAATATTTTTTCAAATATTAACAAAATTTCTATCTAATTTTCTAAGATATAAAAGTTTAGAAGAAACAACAAAAGATTCTTGAAAAACAACTATATTAAATATCGAGATTTTTGAATCTATGAAGAAAAAGAAATTAAATTGAAGCATTTTTATTAGATTTATTCTTACCTTAGATAAAGAGAAAAAAATGTTTTTATGAAATTCTAAATTAATGTCATAAACTATAAGTAAAACTATTTTGAAATGAAATAAAATCCTTATGGTTATTTACATAATCTAAGTATCCCTATGATATTCATCAGAGCATGAAATAGCTCGTTAATTTGTTATTTTTTCACTAGTCTTATATGTAAAATGAGCCATATTTATTTCTATAAAACACAAATTTCTATGTTTTATCCTTGTTTAAGCATAATTTTCACCTTTATCGTTTGAGATAAAAACATGATTCTCATATAATATACTAATACTACTTAATTACAACTTATATTTTTCATACTTGGATATCAATCATATTTTATTTTGCTATTAGAAAAATGTAATATGTAGTTTTTGATGATCAAAATAAGTAATAAATATATCCATTCTCCATTTACTTTTCATTTGACAGATAATTACTAACTTCGATTTTTGATGTATCAATACGAAAATATTTTCAAGTATTATTTGTGTAAAACTACAACGAATATTTAGCGAACTATTCTTGTGTTCAATTCTATTTATAAAGATAATGAAGAAGTTTTTATCTCTCTTCATAAATCAAACGTATTTCTGACAAGCTTCTAATATAGTTAATTGACCGAACTATATGATTTTGTATAGAAGAGAAACTAGAGGTTTCATCAATAATTTGTAAGAGTGTGTATTTGAGAAAATGAAAATGTATTGCGCGTATTCACAAGTGTATAATTAACAAGTTGAATAATGAATATTGTGAAGAATCGTTTAGTAAGATTAAAATTTGTTAATTTAAAAAAAGAAAAATATTTTTAGTAGTATGAAGATGAATATAATATTGAATTACGTTATTATTATTTAATTCAATTAATATTAGATGAGAATTGGTTAGAAATTTTAAATATTTTAGAAGAAACACCTTCAATTCATTTATCTTTTATTCAATTTGCATTTCAAGTAAAGAAATTCTTTTTGTTTTTATTTGAATATTTTTAATAAAATCAAATAGTATATTCCATTGACAATGATTAATAAAATTCGAGTTGAAAAAGTAAAAGAACGTTTAAATTCTATTGAAATAATTCAAAATCGAAAAGAAAATTCTTTTGAAAATTATCGAAATGAAAGAAATTCTTTCTCATCTTCATGTTCATCATTAACATCCATTGAATCATTTCAACAAACAATTCGATTTTTATCTAAAGGTAAATTTTATCGAAAATATTTTCATTGGAATTCAATTGGAAAAGGTGAATGTGAAATTATTGAAAATAATCAATCAGGTTTGAATTTTCAAAAAAATCTAACTTTAATTATTCATTTATTTAAAATGAAGGAGAAATTCTAATTCGTTTTTGGATTTTAAAAAGTAATTCAATCAAACTTGTTTTTCTTGTTAATCTTGATCAATCAAATAATTTTTATCTTTTATCAAATAAATCTTCATCTTCATATATTATTAAATTTCAAGCAAACAATCAATGTGATTATCCGCATACGAAGAAATTGATTTTATATAAAATTAAATTTAATGTAAAAATTTTTTCTAAAACTATTTCTTCTAAATGTAAATCTGGATATATATTTTTAGTCGATAATGGATGTTAAACGAATGAAAGATATTTTAACCTTGAATTGTAAGGACATGCTTTCTCATGTGAAATATGATTCATAATGTATACATATTGTTTGTGTTAATAATAGAAATATTCTCACTCGGTTATACACAATGAAAAGAACATTATCATTCTCTCTCTTTCTTGTTTAATTGAATATCAAGTATATATACATAGATATATATATAGCCATCTTTCAACGTCATTTCATACACAAAATCTACTCAATCAACCAGTAGACAAAAAAAAGAAGAAGAAAAAGAAGAAGACAAGGAAACTAATAATAATAATAAAAACTAAAGCTAATTCATATCCTTTCTTGGTATCATTCGCTCTTTGTACATATATCAACAACATTCTTTTCTTTTCTTTTCTTCTCTTTTCTTTTCTCATGAATATTAGTAGAGAAGATTCTATATAATAAGGAGGAGAAGAAGAGAAAAAGAAATCCCTGAGAATAAGAGACAATTCTTGTATAGATAATTGCAACATTTGTGTGTTTGTTACATATTGATAGACGAATACGAGAAAGAAGAACTTATCTAATTATTAAACATGGGAATATTAAAAGGCAAAGAAGCTGCTTTATCACATATTGATCAATCTAAAACGGCATTTTTAGCAACAATGTCCGAAGTTGAACAAGGTGCTTCAACTCATACAATGCCACCACGAGATCATTATATTATTAAATTTAAACGTGAAACAATTAAAAATTTAAAAGGTCGAGTTTATGAAACAATGAAACAATATGCTTATGAACAATTAGGTTTGAATACAAAATCTTTTTTCTCTAATATAAATATATATATTTTATTTCAATTTTAGGTGAAAGTATACCTGCATTTGTTGGTGGAAAAGAAGCTGAAGATGGTAAAGTTGGTATTTTTAATCCAACAACTCCACCAGTTCCAACTGTTGGTACACAATATGTTGCTTGTATTTATGAAGATCTTAAAGTTGTAGATTGTCTTATTGAAATTGATTGGAGTGAAGTTGATGAATTAGTTAAACAAGCAACTGCAAGACGTAAATCAATCGTTTAATTCTTTTGTTTTATATACATTTTTCTTTTATTAATAATATTATTATTATTGCTTTATTCCCTTAACCTTTTTATTTGTCTTTTTTTTGCATGATTTCATTTATTAACGAAATAAACAAGATTTAATAAGAAAATTAAATATGGTGTTATCGACAAATATGAACCACTTGATCGACATATACATGGTGCAGTCGTGCTAGTGCTTTGCTCTGTCGCCGGATTTGTTGACACTTGGGCAGTAGTCATTGTCGAGGATTGAGTAGCAGTCGCGGTCGTTGCCGGTGTCATTGCCGTTGCCGTTCCTGTTGTCTTTGTTGAAGATTGGGTAGTAGTTGCCGTTGCTGCTGTCGTTGTTGGAGATAGAGTAGCAGTCGTTGCCGTTGTTACTCCTGTACTAACAGTTGTCATCATTTCTGTTGAAGTTATTGCCGTTGCTGTTGCTGTTGAGATAGTAGTTAAAGTGGTAGTATTAGAAATATCTCCTGGACATTTTTCACCAAATAAATGTGAACCTGATGAACAAAAACAAGCATAATATGATTTTGGTTCCATAGATGATTCAAATTCTTCAGAACAATAAGAATCTTCTGGACCACAAATTCCTGGTCGTTCACATATGCCTATATTAATAATAAGTAAGAAAAAGTAAAGAAAGAAAATAAATTAACTGACGACAAGGACGATTTATCTCATATTGAGAATCTGGGCAAGTACAAAATATTTGATCATTACGTTTTGCCCAACTATAATTATTTGCTGGTACAAAATGTCCACCTAGTTCACATACACTTGAACCTAATCAATGAAATTATTTAGATAAATTTCTCAAATATTTCATGTTTATTACCATCACGTTCAACTGGATTGGAATTTATTGAATAAATTAGAAAAAAAACGATTAAAATACTTTTCATCATATTACTTTTCTAACAAATATTTTTTAGAAATGAGTAGAAAACTGATCGATTACTGGTTTTAATATAAAAATGAGCAGATGTTTTTATTTCTCATCATATAGTGAATCATATTTCGATGTTTAGTCTGTTATTGATAAGAAAATAGTAAATACAATTTTTTGTATAAGTAAAAGAAAAATGAATAATTGAAAAAGAAATAAGTTTATGACGCAATTTTTTGAAAAAGAGATTATCCGATGTATAATTTAGTACTCCATGAAGATATATTTAACCTTGACAAATGATTTTTCCCAGATGTTAAATGAAGTAAATGTTTATTTTCCTTCGTATATATATTATCTCATTAAAAATCAATTTTCTAGACTTTTAGTATTTATAAGAAGATTATTTGCTTTAAATTCTAATATATATTTAATTAAAATTAATTGAAAATATTCATAAAAGATAATTAATAAAAATATTTATTTAATTTTCTGTTAAATAATATTTAATTTGTAAATGAATAATCTATTGAATGAGTATGAGTATGAGTATGTATCTATCTATTTATATAATTAGTGTTTATTATTGTATCAATCCAGTCTGTTTATTAGTAACATAAATATGGATATCTTCCACTTTTCACATACGAACGGCGTTTTCTTCTTATTCTTGTTGACAATTTTTTTCTTTTTATCTTTACGCGAGATATTCTAATCTAATAATTGATTTTTTAGTCAACACGTTAACATGTAGAATTAATTGAAAAACATGATAAATATTCTATTTTTATTTTTAGAAACTATTAAAAGAAACAAATAAATCATAAAAATCTAGTTAAACAATCAACAAAGAAACTCTAACTTCTCCATATTTCTTCTTGTATATTTGTTGGGGCGAAAAAGTTATTTACTTTATGTAAATGTCTTGTCAAGAGTTTCGTTAATTATTCTATTTACAACGACTAGACTAGAACAATCAAGAGAATAACTATCGATTATCTTTCCTATTAAATATCTTTAAACTACATTCAAATCAATGAATAATACTTGAAGATTTAAATCATCACAAGTTAATCTTATAGTGATTATGATCAAAATTTTAAAGAAATATATTATGGTGTTATACTAAGTATAAATCAATTAATAATTAATATAACTCTAGTAGAAAGGTTGTAGTCAAATATCTTTTGACTAATTGATATAAAAACATAAGTGGATATTTTATCTAAATGATAATATTTTTCTCGTTAAGATCTCATTTTCTAATAAATATAATATATAAATCAATCCAAGATCATTATTCTTCAAAGAAATTCTCCTATTTAGTATTATTCTTAATTGAGACTACTAATTAACGATCAAATATCAACAAGAAATTCATCAAAGTTATCCAAAGAATTTCTTTTCATTTCTTATCTATGTCTTCACATTAACATTTTCTCCTTTGCTGATACTTTCCTTATTCTTCCAAACGTCATTGATTTTAATGTTACCAAGATTACTACTTTTTAGAAATAAATTTGAGAAGAGAATTTTTGTATATTATATTTCATAAAAAACAATATTGTTTAAAAATAGATCAAATTCTTTTGACAAACTATGTATTTATATATATAAGAGAAAACTAATTTGCTTCATTAATTATTCCAGGTTTACTATATAACCTTCTAGGGGGGAAATACAAGTCTATATCTTACACTATTCAAGTCTTCTCATATATCGTCATATTTACAATCTATATAAGAATATATGTTTTAAACTATTTTATTTTTCATATTCATTCTTATATACTGACAATATGTTACAAATACATGTTGTCCATGTATTCCATTTTACTCTATATCCTCTTCATTGATAACGTCATCGACGATAGAAAAGGTTATTTATGTCATTCATACAGCAACATTTGGCATACTATTTTTGTCATTCATTACTTAATAAAAGCAAAAATCGAATACTTTTTACATTTATACTCAATGCTTTAATTACATCACAGATCGACATAGCTCAAATATCGTTTCGTTCACTGAATGAAGCACCCAACCTTAAAGAATTAAAGTGTTTTTTAAAAAGAGATATTTAAACTGGTACTGATGAAAATTTTTTCTTTATAATACTTTCAGATAAATGAGAATTCGATATGTTTATGTTGTCTTTTTATCAATCAATAAGAACTATGATTTAATCTAAATTTGAGATAAAATCATTGTAAAAACAGTATTACGAAAATGATTACGATTATTAAACTATAAAATTTCAATAAAATATTTTTTCAAAATCTAATGTAATTTTTCTTCATCATTGTTAAAACTTGCGTAATCATTTCTGGTAAATGTTGTAATTTTCTATTTCATGATTTGAAGAAAACAAAGATTCTATTGTGAAATAATCTTATTTATTTTTATCCATTAGAAATTTATTTATTTATTTATTGAAAAAATTGAAGGCTTTTTTTAAAGTTTATTTTCTATAGATAAATCTATCCATAAGAATGAGTCTTAACAAATTTTCCTCTATCGTATTAATATATAATGATTTAATAGATGACGTTACTTATTAGATAATCATAATAGAAGAAATAAATAAAGTGTAGTTTATTAGTGAGAAATCTCTCAGTCATGGAATTGTATCTTTTGTTAAATTTTCTAAAATTATATTTCAACTAGAATATTTAAAATTCGTTGGCTTTCTAGATTTTTCAATATAAAACTTGATACGATTAATAAAAATATAAAATTTTTCATGAAAAAAATATTTTCTAATTAAATAAATTCTTTAATAAAAGATAAAATAGCGACATCTGTTCTCGATTGATTTGTGATTGTGTGAAAAGATTGAACCAATAGAAATTTGTTGTTGTTGTTTCGGTTCATTGTGTATAAATAGGAGTGTCGCAATGCAATTTTGTCTATTCCTGTTAAGTTGAAGTCGGAGTAAGATGGTCTACTTCAACTCTCAAATAGCTGATTCTATAGCCCCATATCGAAATGTACGTCGAGTTCAATTCGGAATATTATCTCCGGATGAAATAAAACGTATGTCTGTTACAAATCCTCCAATAGAACATCCAGAATTAATGGAAGGAGGAAAACCCAAAGAACGCGGTCTGATGGATCCACGTCAAGGTCCACCTGATCGAAATTCTAAATGTAAAACATGTGCTGGATCTTATATTGAATGTTCTGGACATTTTGGTCATATTGAATGTGAGAATAAAAAAATATATTTTCGTTTAATAAAAATAATATATATTTAGTAACAAAGCCAGTGTATCATGTTGCTTTTCTTGCAAAAATTTTAAAAATTTTACGTTGTGTTTGTTATCATTGTTCAAAATTACTTGTTGATCCAAATGATCCAAAACTTGTTGATATTATGAAAAAAACTAAAGGACAATATCGTCGACGTCTTGCTTTTGTTTTTGATGTTTGTAAAGGACAAAAACTTTGCAAAGGTTTGACTTTTTTATTCTTCAATAGAATTTTCCTCTACTTTTTTTTGTTTTTAAATATTATAAAATAGGAAGTGAAAGTGATAATGGTAATGAAGTAACAATGAAATATGCTGGTGGATGTGGTCGTCCACAACCAAAATATCGTCGATCAGGTCTTGATGTTTATGTTGAATGGAAAGAAGCATTAGATGAAAATCAAGAAAGAAAAATGAAATTAACAGCTGAACGTGTTCTTTCAATATTTAAAGCAATACCTGATTCTATTTGTCATGTATTAGGAATGGATCCACGTCATGCAAGACCAGATTGGATGATTATTACTGTTTTACCTGTACCACCTATGGTAAATAAACAACTTTAAAATTAGTTTGAATAAATAAATATATTTTTTTTCTCTTTCTTAAAGTGTGTTCGTCCATCAGTATTAGTATTTGGTACAGCACGTAGTCAAGATGATTTAACATTTAATTTAGCAAATATATTAAAAGCTAATAGAACATTACGTGAAGATGAACAACGTGGTGCAGCATCACATATATTTGATGAACATCTTACCTATCTTCAATATCATTGTGCAACATTAATTGATAATGATATGCCTGGTATGCCACAATCATGTCATAAAAGTGGAAGACCACTTAAATCAATCAAAGCTCGTCTTAAAGGTTTGTCAAACAAAAAAAACAAAAAAAAATGTTTTTCTTTAACTTATAAAAATATTTTTTTTTATAATAAAATAGGAAAAGAAGGTCGAATTCGTGGAAATTTAATGGGAAAACGTGTTGATTTTAGTGGTCGAACAGTTATAACACCAGATCCAAATTTAGCTATTGATCAAGTTGGTGTTCCACGTTCTATTGCACAAAATTTAACTGTACCAGAAATAGTTACACCATTTAATATTGAATGGTTACAAGAATTAATTCGTCGTAATGCAGCTAAATATATCATCTGGGATACAGGTGATCGTATTGATCTTCGTTTTCATCCAAAACCATCAGATTTACATTTACAATGTGGTTATATTGTTGAAAGACATATGATGGATGATGATTTAGTTGTATTTAATCGTCAACCAACATTACATAAAATGTCAATGATGTCTCATCGTGTTAAAATTTTACCATGGTCAACATTTCGTTTAAATTTAAGTGTAACAACACCATATAATGCTGATTTTGATGGTGATGAAATGAATTTACATTTACCCCAATCAGTTGAAACAAAAGCTGAATTATCTCAATTAATGATGGTACCACGTTTAATAATAACACCACAATCAAATCGTCCTGTTATGGGTATTGTACAAGATACATTAACTGCTGTTAGAAAAATGACAAAACGTGATGTATTTATTGAAAAAAGTGATTTTATGAATTTATTAATGTTTTTACCATCATGGGATGGACACATTCCACAAGCAGCTATATTAAAACCTAAACCATTATGGACTGGTAAACAATTATTTTCATTAATATTACCAAAAGAAGTCAATTGTATACGTACACATGGTCAACATCCAGATGATGAAGATGATGGACCATTTAAATGGATATCACCAGGTG